ATCATCCTAATCGCTCACCTCGATTGTACACAATACAAGTCTTTTTAGCTCAACATTTCTCATTAGTGTTTTTTCTTGGATTTGATAATGTATGCATACTATTCGAGTTAAATAGGTAAATATCGACTGAATTTAAAATTTTTTAAAAATCAATACCTAAATTTTTAATTTTTGGTTTGAACTCCCTTGAATTTTTTTTTTTTTTTTTTTAAGATTTAGTCTATCTTCTAGTTTTATGTAAAAAATAATGTCACATAAATAGCTTCATGATAGACATCATTCAATAGGATTTATCTGAAAATCTTCAAAAAAAAAAAAAAAAAGGATCATCCTCGGTTATTTTTTATTTTTCTCAATATTTATATTTTTAATGTTCAGAAAAAAATCCTTTTCAACCTTGAAGAATTCAGTGATATTTTTTTTTTCAAAAAATGAATTAGATTTTTTTCAACGTGTGTGCTAAACATCAACTCAAAACACCTATAATTGAATCGTTTTTAGAGGCGGAATTGATAGTTAGAAATCTAAAAAATGACATTCTTGATGCCGAACCTTTGATTTTTACTACCTAACTGGTAATTTCTTCGTTTTGCTACCTAGCCTTTTATTTATTTATTTATTTTTCCATTTTGGTGTTTTTAGTCACTTGAGAGTATGAATTATTGACATGTAGGAATTAATTGCCACATGACAATAAAAAATACTAGATGACGAGTAAATCTCGGACATGTCAATAATTCATACTTTCAAGTGACTATAGACATGCAAATAGAAGAAAAAAATAAAAACAAAGGTTGGACATTGAAACGAGAAAATAAATTTAAGATTGGGCACTAACAATACAATTATCTAAAAAAATTTGTTGCCTCGAGATCAAGAAATTAGTACAACAATTTTCACTTGATTGCATTACTAATAAATATTTTTTTATATCATGCTCATGGCATTTTCTACTTATTAAAAAAATTATTACTTTGTATTAGTAAAAAAATTACTTTTTGAAAATACTAAATTCTTTTTACTTGTCTAGACAAATTTAATATTATATCATTTAGTCCAAATATATATAAGGTCTAATTAAGATTAAATATAGAAAAAACAAAAGATATATAAGGTTCAATTATGATTGTTATTTGTGGAATAAATGGTTGGCCGGTGAAGAAATTTACAAAGAAAAAATATTGTCTCATCCGTCTAGGGAGAAGATCTACCAACATATGAATGGTGACATAAGTTTTCCGTGATCGATAACTAGGGGTGAGCAAACGGTTCGGTTAACCGAAAATCGAATAAAATTGAATCGAATTATGAAATTTGGTTCAGTTTTAAATGTAAAATTATACAATATAAAATCGAATCGAAAAAATCGAAATTATTTCGATTCGATTCGGTTTTTAGAAAAAAAATTTCGATTTCGACCGAAAACTCGAAATAAATAGTAAAACATTTTCTAATTTCTAAATCCCTAACTTCTCAATCTTCATTCTTGTTAAAACTGAAACACGTAGATGAGAAGTAAATTTTGAGGACCATTGGGGTAAGAAAAGAAAGTGACAGAGTGTAATTAATTGGGATACGAGTGTGTTTGAATGACAAAATCAATTACACTTGGACTCGGTTTTCATTAAAACCTAGTTAAAATCTTCAAGGGCTTTGTGATTGTCTATAAAAAGGATTAATTGATAACAAGATGTTACTTCATTGGCTAGTGGACAAAGTGCTAGTACAAAACATCTCTCCGTAATGATTTTTTTTACAACAAAATATTTCGGTTAAAATCGAAATATTTCAAAACCAAACCGAAATAATTTGGTTACAAAAAAAATTTATCGGATTTATTTCGGTTCGATTTTGATTTTGATTTTTCTTAATTCGATTAACCAAAAATCAAACCGAATTGTACAAAATCGAACTGTTTAACCAAATGATCACCCCTATTAATAACTTGTTAAACTTTTTATAGTAGGTTGAGAAGGGATATAATCAATATGAAAAAGTTTAGTGATCAAGTTTTTTGGTTTGAGAGTCGAATGTCTAGGACTTTTGGTAGCGGTGTTGATAATGATATAGATGATAAGTAAAATGTGAATTAAAATAAAAAATAAATGTATTGTTAATATTGCTTATGCAATTAGGTGCCGTTGATAATCGGTAATAGAGTGGGGAGAATGAGAATGAAAATTTTATTTTTACGTTGTAGCTATTTGGTTAAAAGAAATGAAGTGGGAATGAGAATGAAAATTTACATATAACTTCATTCCCATATAAGATGTGGGAATAAAAATAAGAAATGAGAATGAAATTTATTTTTTAAAATAATAATATATTTTATTTGTTTATTGTCTATTAACTACTTTTACCACCACCACCACTCGCCATCGCCACCATAACCACCATCGTAAGTACCATCACCACCACCACCACTAAAACCATTGCTGCCATGACCACTACTACCACCATCATCTTTATTATTTTTTTACAACCATTATAATTTGATAAAATTATTTTTTTAATCATTATTTTTATTTGTATAAAAAATCAGATATTAAAAAATTTAAATTGCATTTTGATTCTTCATTAGTGTTCCAAACATAACATGAGAATACAAATGTCATTCCGATTCCTTAATTTTCATTCCAATTCCCGCATTCTCATTCCGGATCTTTCATTCTTGATAACAAAACGATTTTTTAGCATAGTAACAAGAAGATGTGAATGCATATAACTATTGATGTTTTTGAAATTTAGAATTATATGATTTTCAATATTTAGAAAGAAGTTTTGAGAGATTATATATATATATATATATATATATATATATATATATATATATATATGTGAAAGAACAAGAAATACATAAAATTTATTTATAATAATAAAGAGATAGATCCGAGTAAAAAAAGAAGAGACACATTTGGTACGAGAAAACTACATTTTTGGTAGTTAACTTTTTTCTTTTTTTTAGTGCCTACATTCACGTGATGATACTATGCAAATGTTGAAATGTCTAGTCGGGATTGACTAACACCCAATAGTTAATCTTGGACGCGTCAGCAATTGATAATCTTATGTTACTATGTGCACTACAACAGGAAAAAAAATGAAAAATAAAAAAATGAATACAAAAAATTATGTGCAAGGGTTCATTTCACTGCCTAAATCTGAAATCTGACATCCTCTTTTTTTTTTTTTTCAGAACTGCAGAAAATAGTCAACCGATCTGTTCTTAATTCGTAACATAAGAATGATGAAAGACATTGCCCTTTATCTAGAATCTGAAACCTGCACGATTTAACAATGTATTGCATGTTATGCTATGTTCTGTATTTTGTTTGCCCAGTGAGGACGTATCCCTTGCGGAAAGTACACTTCTTTGTTTTATAGGGAATAGTCCTCGTTACTTCTCGTATCTGGGATTTGTCTACCGTATACCTTGCTATAAATTCCTTGAACCAAGTTGCTTACAGTCTTGGAATTCTTCAGTGAGGTGTAATCAACATGGCAAAGTCCAAATCTTCTTCTACAACCATATGACCACGCAAAATTATCAAGCAAGGACCAGGAAAAATAGCCCCTCACATCTGCTCTTTTCCTGATTAGAGGGAAACGTAAAAGCAGTTAGAAAAGCAAAAAAAGAGGTCAAGCTTGTGAGTTCACTTTTGTTCTAAACACTCTGAAAATGCTTTTAAAAGGGATGAAGTTTCCGAAAATGGCCACAGTAATATGAACTTGCTGCACTGCTGTCATCAAGGCATCCAAATAAGCAGCAGACAGGTAATAATAACTATTCATCCCTTTCAGTAAGAACGATATATTCAGCTTCTGTGGTCGATAGAGTAACACATTTATGCAAACTCGATTGCCATGAAACTGTTCCCTTGCAAAAGTCATTAAGTACCCCAATGAAGACTTCCAAGAATGAACATCATCATTTATATATGCTTATGTGTATCAATCTAACACAAGTTTACCATTACCAAAACACAAGTTGCAACTAGAAGTGCCTCTGAAATACATGAGTATTTATTTTACTATTGAATAGTGTTCTTTACTACGATACGATTAGAGAGGAATCGACTCACAACACTAAATGCATGAGCTATTTCTGACCTTGTACAAACCATGACATACATCAAGCTACCAACTATGGATGCGTAAAAAATTCTCTTCATCTCATTTCTTCCTTCATCACTTGAAGGGCACTTCAGAACTTACCTTAAAATTACTTGCAAGTGGAAAGTTAAATCTTTAAGGACTTTCTGGACAAATATCTCATCAGATAGCTAAAGTTTTCCATTCTCTTAGTCACGATTAACCTTCAAGCCAAGAATCTATTTTTTCGGTCCCAGGTCTTTCACTGCAAAAGACTTGCTTAACTCTCCCTTCAGACTTTCAACGTATCATCTATATATAGCAAGAGAACAATGAAGTCACTATTAGCAAATTTTTTCATAAGCACACAATGATCATAGGTAGTTCTACCATAACCATGCTCCATCATGAAGGAATCAAACTTCCCTTGAATATGTTTTCTTTTTTATTCTTTGAAGAGCTATGGCCTTGGAATGCTGTTAATAGTGCATATGATTGATTTTGCTGGATTGAGATGGTGAGTTTGTCCTTAATTGCTTGAAAAAATGAGTGTTTCAATCTGGTTAGCAGCCACTTTGATAGATTTATTGGATTTGAAAAATCTCCTTGCTTTATCAATTCAATAAAAGTTCTGATTGACAGAACTAAGCAAGAGAGATCAGAAAAGGAGGTCTGTCTAATGTTGGAGGGAACTAAATATATAATTAAGGCCAAAGAATGCAAGGCCTCTGTTTCTATGGATTTCAACAAAACTTGCTTTTGCGTGGATTTTTAGTAGGTTGAAGACGATGTGGCGTCTGATGTGGCGCTAAATGAGGATGACATGGATCATGTGGCACTTATCGTAGGTGCATGTGTTGCCACCGTGTCTGAAACTATTGAAAAATTGTCTCATGCTAACAAGTTAGTCTTGGGCTGGATGATGGGCCTTCAAGGGTGGTAGATTCTCAACTTGGGCCTTTATGTGAACAAAATAATGGCTGTGATGGATTGTTGGATTTAACAGCCCAAAACTATACCAGAATTACATCAAGGAAGAAGAGAGTTCATCCTAGCACATCTGGTGCGGTCTACGAGAGGAAAAATCACAAAGTTAAAATACTTAATGCCAGAGGTAGCATTGGAGAGAAAAATGGAGATGTAAGTGATAGGTCTTCCTAGAGGGTTGTTCGATCATTGCCCAATTTTACTTGGTTTGGAATCTGTTAAGTGGGGTTGGAAGCCTTTTCACACCTTTATGAAAAAGATCGATCACTTAGCTAGGATGATAATGATATAGTAGTCAGAGAGTAGGGAGAAGTGAGACAGCTTGGAAAGGAGCTCATTGATTCAATAATTTGCTTTTAGATTATTTACATACGCTGGATTTTCTTTGCCAGTTGAGCTACATAGAGGGGATATCCCTAGGAAAGTACAACTCTTGTGTTCAAGGGGTAGTAGTCCTTATCACTTGTCACATTTGGGATTTGTCTACCTTATACCTTGCTATAAATTCCTTGTACCAAGTTGCTGATAATTTTGGAGTTCTCTTCATTGTGGTGTAATCAACATGGTAAAGTCCAAATCTTACGGTATAACCGAAGGTCCACTTGAAATTATCAAGCAAGGACCAGGCAAAATAGCCCCTCACATCTGCTCCTTTCCTGATCACATGGAAAAGAAAAGCTTTGTGTTTGTAAAACTCTGAACTTAGCTCTGAAATGGGATACATGGCCATGGTAATAGCTAGTTGAGTCAATATGAAATGCAAACACAATATGAACTTACTGCATCGCTGTCAACAAGTAATCCCAATAGTCAGACATGTATTCCACTCTTTCTATGTCATCACAAACAATGGTGAGGTTCGGATTGTTCAGCTGGCCATAACCTACAGAACTCATTGCAATTGTATGAGAAAGACATGAAAAAGTTTGTCTGCTTAAAGGAATTCTAGTCATACTTACTTACCATTCTCTGTAATGATCATGGGTAAGTTATTGTATCTCTCCTTTATATAGGTAACAATCTTCTCCATTCCTTGGGGATATACCTGTAGCCAATTCACTCCAGTCTACATTAACCAAAAACCTTGATCAAATTCCTGAGACGCAAACATTAATTCTGATGATTGTGTTAACTTGAGACTTGAGAGGGTACATACAGGTTTGCCGATGGGAACTCCATCTTTTGCTTGACTTCTCCGGGCAAAACCTTCTGTCCTGGAGGCTCCTGTTCCTGGTTCACAAATAGAGAAGATGCAGTCTTGGCTGTATCGAGTAGTGTAATGATTGATGCCAATGAAATCGAGTCCAGTCCCCAGTTTTTGTTTGTCATTACTTGAAAATTTCGGTAAACCAGACCCTAGAATTCTGGACATCTCTGCAGGATATTTTCCAAAAATGATTGGGTCCAAGAACCTGCATTATACTTGAGATTCAGCGGGTGTCATGTGCCAAATGGATTTAATTACATTTAAACATGGATTGAAGTCAAGTGAAATGATTGAGAAATGTAAGAAGGTTAAATAAATTCACCAGTTCATGAAGAAGTCTTGAGCTCTGTCAGCGGCTAACTTGTCTGCTGTGGAATTGCTAACAGGTTCAAACCAAAAGCAATGTAAGACGATCCCAATGTTGCCCCTTTGATCTTTCTGATAATCGATTAACAGGGAGTAACTAGTAAGTTCATCTGTCCAGAGCGTCTGCTTTCCTCATTTTCCTTTTTTTTTAAGCTGCGTCACAAATGATATCTAAGAAATTGTTATGATTTAAATACCTGGTATTTTGTTCTATAAATATCAACTGCAGTTGCATGAGCTAAGATTATATTATGTGCTGCAATAAAGGGCTCCTTCTCTGAATCCCCATGAGTGCAATTTCCGAAAGGACTGGAGCAACGACTTGGTGGGTATTCACCAGCGCGATAGCCTTCAATGACTTGTATATTTGGCTCATTGAAGGTAGCCCAATACTTTACTCGATCTCTGAAGTTCTTGAAACAGATGTCTGCATAGTATCCGAAATCCTCCCTGATTAAGAAAATGAAAGAAAATAATCAGCTAATTCTTTGCCTGCATATATACCTAGGTAATGGCTGTCTAGTTTATAGAACAGCAAACTCCACAGACTTGTACTTACCGGGATCTAGGACTTAGCCATCCCCCATATCTCTCCTCCAGTTCTTGAGGTACATCATAGTGGGCTAATGTCACAAATGGTTGGATTCCTGAAGAAAGTTTGAGAGAGAAAAAAAATGTATAAATAAAATTTGAAATTGAAGATATTTTCCAGCAATGATGGTATTTCTTAAACACTTCTTTGGTTTCAGGATGTAACCTTTAACTAGGAGAGAATTGATGAGCTTGCTATAGTAGCTAATACCAGCCTTATTAATATCCCCAAATCTCCCTTCTGTATCCAAATTGAATGAAGTTTCATATCAGCTTTACGCTATTGTGATGTAGTTCCTGTTGACAATATTCTGAGTTCATAAGTTCTTACTGGGTAGAATTCGTGCCCACGAAAGTGAGAATCTGTAGCTATTGACTCCGAGGGAGTCCATTAAATCGATGTCTTCCTGTTAACATCATTCAATATATCTTTAGTGAAAGCTGTTGTGTTAGAAACCTAGTTTAGCAATTTATGGAAGACATGCATATGATATTTTTGATGGAATATTTTAAACACCAGTATCACAACCTTTTTAAAATTCTTTCAGGTATGGATACTAATCATCACATAGATGACTAATTATTTGCTTACGTAAGGTAATTATTTTAATGGACAAGTTGCATCTTATCTAATTTGATTATGTCTAGATCATTTTAGACTTACAAATTAATTCCAACCAGTAAGGCAAGATCTGATTTCATTATTCATCAGTGTCTAGCATACGTTATGGGGTATGAAGGTTAATATGCTTTAAAGTTATTGCTGACAGATATTTAAGATGTGATGTTGTTGCTAGTAAACAGGGCTGAATGTTCTGGAATTGAGAAAAGAGACCGAGAGAAAAAAAAAAAAAGGGAGAGAAAAGAGAGGAAGAAAACCCTCTGTTTCTTGTTGATTCTGCAGAAAAATTGCAGACCTACGTTGTGTTGATTTCATATCTTTAATGACTTGATAGTGAGCTAACAAACCTGTGTTATGTTTCTCTTTAATACCTGCACATTTGTTGTTGTTTTGGACGCAAACACACAAGCTGATTATTCAGATGACATGGGGCCTAAGCATAGTTGGTATTCTAAATCATGCCACAGATGCTATTTATAGTCAAAAAAAGGTACGATAAAGGTCATATCTGTTTACCAGATAGAGATGATATTCGTCCACGGCAGTGTCTCCATTGCTTCCATCAATTATTTTGCCTGCAACAGGAAACATTCAATTATTTTGACATTCTATTGTTTTGCCTGCAACAAGAAATTCAATTACTTTAACATTCTATTGTTTTGCCTGCAACAGGAAACATTCAATTATTTTGCCTGAAACAGGAAACATGAAGAAGTAAAGAGCAAGAAAAGCAGCATAGTCTAAATCTTACTTGATCGAAAAGTCTGGTTTTCACTCCTTTACCAAGTCACCATGTCTTTGCCCGTCTTAAAGTCTGAAAGATTGACAAATCTTTAGTCTCTTAGAAATAAAAAAGAGAGTCCTTACCTGGTGTGTGGGTATGTATATCCCAGTTGTTCAAACCTTTACCATCACTAAGATAACCACCTTCAACCTACGAAGTTCCAGAAAAATGTGATTTCGAATTTTGGCTAATCTGACAGTAGAGCAACCATTAAATTTCGAGTGAAATGGAAGCGAAGAAGGAGAATAGAAGTTACAAACCTGATAAGAAGAGGATGCAGTGCCGAAGAGAAAGTTGGCTGGAAGTGAAGGACGAGCTAAACTCTCTGTCGAAATTTTTGGGTGAGATGATACATAGAGAGGAAGCAAGATCAGCTCTAAAAGAAACAGAACTTTAAACAGTGAAGGAGGTTCCATGATAGTAAATGCGCTTGCTTTGCAGTCTCTTGTAACCCAGTCAAAAAGCTCTTAGTATTTACGCCTGCAAAATCAACTATTATGCAGAAGACATTAAGAAGATGTTGAAAATTTTTACTTATATGCCATATAAAGAAAGGTACTCAACATCTGTATTAACACGACAACCTTAGTTAAGTGCAAAGATTCTGTGCTGATATTCAAATCGCATTTCAGGCCATTTTATATTTGTAAAGAATGATCACTCTGGACCCCTCAACATTATTTTAGTTCAGCTTCTGGAACATCCTCAAACGCACCTCTATTTCTTTATTACTGTATAGTTCTTTTTATCCAACAAAGGTATTGTTGTGTGTGGCTTGAATTTTATGAGTCAATAATATATTTAGCCTACTAGGTTTTTTCTTTTATAGGTATGAGGTATTTAAACCTCTTTATGTCTCTGTTTAGGAAATATAGTGAAAGATAGAGACTTTGTATTGAGTCTCCGGGGTTTATGTATTCTCCTACTATCAAGTTAATAAAACTTCCCTCTCACTTGTCGAGTAGGCAATTTGTTGAACCGGATAAATCCTGTGTATTGATAATTTGTTTAGCTTTATCTTTTGATTATTACCTGCCATTACTCTTTTTGTTTTCGTTGTTTGTCATAACAAACTGGTATTAGAGTGTAGGTTGTGCATCTTTGGGTTTTTTTTTGTTCATAATGACAGCTTTGAAATTTAATGTTTCGCCTTTTGATGGTCAAAATAATTTTGGCCAATGGAGAATAAAGATGAAAGCTTTGTTAAGGCGTGAAGGTTCCATCAAGACAATCGAGGGTATATACCTAGATGACATGACTTCTTTCTAAATTGAAGAGATGAATGAGAAGGCTAATAGTGCTCTACAATTATTATCGCCGGACAAGGTACTACGAGAAGTCGTAGATGAAGAGATGGTAACGAGGCTGTGGAAGAAGCTAGAAAGCCTCTACATGAAGAGATATCTTAGAACAAGATTGTATTTGAAGCGAGCGTCTTTATACACTAAAGATGCGAGAAGGTACATCTATTCATGAGCACCTTAATGAATTCAATAAGATTGTTATGGATATAAAAAATATTGATATTAAAATTGATGAAGAAGATCAAGCTCTTATTGTATTGTGTTTATTACCTACTTCGTATGGGAATTTTGTTAATCAAT